AAAAAAACAAAGTGAGAGAATATGATAAAAATATAATTGTTTTGAATTTTTTAGTGCATCTCTCCCAGAATTGAAAGAATTTAACAAACAAAACAAAACAAAAATCAAATCAAAAATCTATAGAGAGTATATAGAATGTATAAATAATAAAAGCATTAGATTTGATTTAACCTATTATATGTTGTCTGTAGTCCATTTTGGTGGTTATAACAAAATACCATAGACTGGCTAACTTATAAACAACATAAATTCATTTCTCATGGTTCTGGAGGCCAGAAAGTCTAAGATGAAGGTACCAGCAGATTCATTACCTGGTGAGGCTTTCTTTCTAGTTCATAGATGTTATCTTCTTGTTATATCCTCACATGGTTCAAGGGCAAGCCAGCTTCCTGAGGCTTCTTATTAATTCCATTCATACAGACTCGGTCCTCATAACCTACCAACCTTCAGAGGTCCCAACTTTTTAACACCATCACATTGATGATTAGATTTCCACACATGTATTTTGAGGAAATATAAATATCAATTAAAAATGGTTCTTTTCATTGTCATTTTGACTTTGGGAAGGAGCCAGAAATCACACAGTGCCAGATTCGGTGAATAAATGAATGAGGAGACACTGCAATGTTTTTCTGAGCCTGTTTTTCCATTGGTTGGACTTTGACAACAGCATCACTGTATTTTTAATTATTTCTTGTAAAGACACTTATGAAAGAAGACTCCCAGAACTGTTTTGGAATGTGTCAAGAATGATGAGATAGTTATGTTCAAATCAAAGGGAAGTATTTTGAAGGCTATTAATGGTAATGTGTCTTTTACTGTAATACATTTTTAAAAATTTAAATTTATTGTATATTTTAGTCATACATCATATACAAGTATAAATATATTGTGTATTTCCACAAAACTTTTGCAAATTGAGTATAATAATAAAAACAAAAGAAACTTTCAAGGAGGCAATAATGATGACAGAAACTGAAATTCCTAAAGTAGATAAGATAATAGAAAAAGGATATAAATTCAAAAATTGGTTCTTTAAAAAGATCAGTAAAATTGAATAATACTATGTAAGACTACTAAGGAAAAAATAAAATTGCAAAAGATTATATGAATATAGGAAATACATTAAAAGGGATATAATTGAATACTCATAGTGACTTGATAGTAATATATTTAGAAAATAAAACCTAGAGGAAATTAGTACTTTCTTAGGAAAATATGTTATTACATCTGACACAAAAAGTGCAAAAAACCTGAACATTTATTACAGAAGAAATTGGAGAAGTGATTAATGATCTACTACGCTACTATTGAAAAAGACTGCAGGCAGATGAACTCACAGCTGCATTTTTCAATCTAGCTATTAAAATAGATAATTCCAATATTATTTAAAATATTATAGGTGTTAGACAAAGATGGAAAGTTCTTTAGCTAACTTTATGAAGCTTGGATAACTTGGATACCAAATCCTAGGAAAGAATGGAAAAACCATTAAAAGTATGGGCCAATTTCATCACTGATTACAGATGCCGAATATTTAAATAGTATATTAGAAACTGAAACAGACAAATAAATTTAAAGAGGAATACACCATGCCAAATCAGGATCTATTAAAGTAATAAAAGTGCTGTTCAATATCAGAAAGTCTAGCTACATATTGACTACATTAAAAATCAAAGAGAAAAAAAACTCTGACCATTATCTATAGGCTGTGAAAGGGAATAAGATAAAAGTCAAAAGACTAATGCCAAGGGAAACTCTAAGTGAAATAGAAACAGAAAGAAATTCCTTATATAAAGAAAAAGTCACTTAGCCATCATTGTCTAAATGGCCAAAATTAAACCTTTTGCTTAAAATCAGGTTATCAGGCAAGCATCACCAAAAATTACTTACATTGGTGATATAGCAGTGGTAAATAACATAACTGGTAAAACTGATGAAACAAGGCATAAAGTTGCTTATACAAGGTGATATGGCTATGTTTTTGAAAACCCAAGAGACTATCATGAAAAACAAGAGAATTTGGTGCACTGGTTGAATGTAAGATAAGCTATAGAGATCATCCCCCCTGAACTCAGGCAAAGGCATTTAGCAAAGGATATGGAAATAACATTTGAATCAGAAGATAAGCACTATAAAATAACTTGGCCTAAGTTTGGTAAGAAAGGCATAGAAAAAACTACAAAAAATATTATGGGGAGATTGTAAAACAAAATATAGGCAAACAAAAACTCTATCACCTTCTTAATTAGAATGACAATGTTATACACATGTCAATTATCCAAAAACTAACATATAAATCTAATAATCTTATTTGTCTTACATCAAATACCATATGGTAATTGAAAAAGGCCTTTAGTTTAAGTGTCTGCCTACAATAGTAGTTTTTATTAAGTATCATCTTTAACTTGGAGGGTTTTAAAGATTTGTTGAGAATCATCAAAATAACCCTAAAAATGGCTCTACTTTTATATTTAATAAATGGCAAATTATATAGTAGATTTTAAATACCCTTCTCCCATTTCCTACTCAATAAAGAGTGGGGTTAAAAAGAGAATGGAGTCGAGGAGACAGGTTTTTTTCTTTTTTGGTGAGTCTCACATTGCACTTATCAGGTCTGGTCAACTTGGTTGTGTATTAGAATCACTGATGGATCTATAAGAATATAGATTCAGGATTTGCACCACTAAGGCTTCCTGCAATCAGTATCAACAGGGAGAAGAATTTTAGGAATGACTGGCCAATGCCGCCATAACACTTCTTATTTCAATATTTCTTTTCAGAGCACAGAAACCTCAATGTTTCCATTGAGAGGACTTCATTTTAATCTTGTTTAAAAGAAAATAACTCATTTTCTTTTAAAAATGAGAATTGGGAGAGACATTAAAAATAAACATGAAATTATTTTCTACTTTAGAGAAAAAAATATACATTCTCTTTTATGTAGCAGTAAGTAGTGAAAGTACGCTGAGAATAATGTAACATATCGGTTTGAGGTTGCAACCAGTTTCTAGTCTAACTCTTGTTTTCTTCACTCATACAACAGGTATGACAATAGTACTTTCCTCCTATGATAGTAGCATTTACCTTGAGTATACTAATGATTTAGTATGTGCTATCTGAAAACAAACAGAAACAACACTATAAGCTTCTCAGCAAGAGTATTTGTGATGATGATGTTAACGTCTCTACAAGCTTTGGTGTGATAGGTACTTAATGAATATTTTTGAATCAAGATTCAACATTGTGTGGCTCTCACTGAAGTTCTGTCAAAGGCATGAAGTATTCTGATTCTACTCTCTTACTATTTTCATTTCAAAATAGTACCTTTGAATGTCCCCAGGTCATGCTGCTTTATGAATACAAATGAATTCACCTTACTAATCAGTGTCTAAATAAGGTTTAACAATCACTGTAAGTAATAAATTATTCTCCCCAATTCAGACCCCTTCATTCACCTCAGGAAATCTTCAGCTGTCTCCCCGGTGCTCAGGAACAATTCTATTCCTTTTCTCTACTTCTCTGGGAGTCCAGTCAAGTGGCCTTGATTTTATTTTGACCACCCATGTCCCTCATGAGAACATGCCCTCGCTGGGCACAGCAGTTCCTTTTTGGTGGCAAAACTGCACAGAGGTCTAGGTAGACTGGCAGACAAAATGACTCTCTCTCCAGCTTGGTACCTACAGTATGTCTCACCATGCTAACAGTAGTAGTTCATAGCTCTGAAAATCTCACAATCATTTGTGCAAATGCTCTGGTCCTACTGGGTTTCCCCAGGGGGCTCAAAACTGAAGACTGAGTGAAAGCAGAGAACACAGGCAGCAAGCCATTCCCTCCATTGTCTTTTGGCAATTTCCCAAGGCCACCATCACAGAAATTCTCTTCTATCTTTATTCAGAAACACAATGTGCTGAGAAGGTCAACTATACAGTAGAAACAGATGACTGGAGATGATACCAATCCATCAGGTCCATAAATGATAAATTCTAAATCCCACTTTTAGAATCACACATTTCTGAAGCAATGGCTCCTTTTGCCCTGAGTTGCGGTTGCCTGGCTTCTCTGGAGACCTGGTGTTCTGGCTGCTCAGCAACAAGGAGCTCTGGGGATTTCTGTTGTGCTGGCACTGACATGTAAACATTAACAATAACAGGTAATAACAGTGACACACCATACAGAGACAATTTTATTCCCAATTCTGAAAGAGCTTTCTATAGGTGATGTGAGAGTTGTGAATGCCCCTGTTCTCCTTTTAGTTTCCTTTAAATTCTGATGAGGTATTTGAAGAACCATAGCAGTCAGTTCATTTTAAAACTTTTTCTCTTTCCTCAGATTGGAAGAATGATAAAATGTATTACAGTAATAGTATAAGTGGAGAATAAGGTGTAATATGGTGTAAATAAATGATAGCATAAGAATGATCAGGTAGGCAATGGAGAATTGCACCTTATTCTCCATGACCCTAACAGTGCATTTCTGACAATGATGCTCCAGACTAGTTCTGGGTGAAGCTCAGCCTCTTCTCTCTCATCCCCATTTCTACCTCAGGGTGCTGTAGATACCTAAGTGTGCCCTCTCCTCTATGAAATCCAGTTGCACAAAGGAAGGTTTACATCTCCAGCCACATTCAGACCAATCTTAGAGGTAACAAGGCTTAGCATTCATCTTTCCCAGTGGCATTCTACTGCACAGGCTCTCGACAAGGAGTCCAAGCAGCAATGTCTTCTCTGCCACTCCTAATCGTGAGACTGAACCCAGCACAACAAACTCTGAGTCTAGTTTCTCCATTTAAAAGTTAGGAATAATGTTACCAACCTTACAGAAGTTTTTAGAACCAATGGAAGAAATCATCAAAACATTACCATTAAGTATTCAATTTATTTTGATTTACTCAAAAGAGGAAAAAATTTCATCCAGAAAAAATGATTTTGTGAAATTTCATATTATTGGAGATTCATTTGAAGGCCTTTTTTTTCTCCTTTAATCATATTTTATAGGTAGCTGCCAACTCTGTTCCAACTGTTTTTCTGTAAGTAAAATTGTACACTTGTCTTGATCTTTTCCATGGTTTGAAACGAACCTAAGTCTAGTTTTGACACAGTTTTAACAGGGGGAAGGATCACGAAAGTCTAAGGAACATCATGTGTGAGAACTTTTTCTAGTCCATTTAAGGTCATGATTTCCTCCCAGTTCTCAGGACAATCATCTCTAAAATAATGAACAACAATGGACTTCAAATATTCTCGAATTTCTTTTGCAATCTTTTAGAGCTCTGTAAGTTGAACCGGCTTCCTAAATCTACATTTTTCCAACTGCTGCGGTCCCCCCTTGGCTCAGCAGCAGCTGTGATTCAGCGCTTTCCCGCACCTGCTCCTCTACACAGCCCCTATAGGATGGGGCCCCACCTGATTTTATTTTCTAACTTTCAAGGTGGCCTCGGATACACTTTCATCCCCTGCTACTCAAAGATGCTTAGATCAGAGATCCGAAGAACCCCTTCAAAGATTCTGGACGCCCTACTTTTTTGGGCCAAGCTGTCATGGACACAGGCTAGGACCGGGGGGTGGAGGCCCGAGTCCCTGCGCATCTCCAGAGCTGGACCCGCCCGGGCGCGAGGTTGCTAGGTCCTCTGTTTGCCGCGTTCTAAAGGAGCCCGAGCGGGACCAAGGCTCCCGGCGAGAAGGGGGTCCCGGAAAAGCCCGAGCACTGTCACCAGGTCCCAGCCAAGTCATGCAGCGTCTCCCGCGATGGTCCCCACCTCCACGGCCTCCACGAGCCCGGAACCGAGGATCCCCCTCAACTTGGTTCCTCCCAACTGCTGCCCGCGTCTCCCCGCACGCCGCGCACCCCCGGGCGCGGAGGGCGAATGGCCCGGCCCGTCGGGAGCCACCACCCCTCCAGCGGGCACAGCTGCTCCTGCTGCTCCGGGTCGAGCGCCCAGCCCTAGCTGCGGCTGCTGTGGGCGGTGGCGGGCGAGGGTCGTGGAGGGTCGCAGGCCGCCGCGCAGGTTGCTGCCCCCGGGAGGCGTCCACGGCCGGGGGCGAGGAGCCCGCCGGGCGCGGTGAGTACCTGCCTTCTCCCCGCGCGACCTCGCCGCGGTCCCCTCACTCGAGGTCTCGGTCCCCACCCCGGGGCCGTGGCTGTCCGGACGGCGTCCCGGCGAGGGCGGCGGAGCCCGGGGCTGATGATTCAGCGGCGCTGGGGCCCGGAGGTTTGGCAGGAGGGGTGGGGGAGGGCAGCTCCCGCCGCCGCCGGCCTCAGTTTCTCTCTCTGGAGGGGACCAGCGCGTCGGGCGGCGGGGGACGGGGAGGCTCCGGCGGGGGCGCTGCGTTCCGAGCAGTCCCCGCGGCCCCGCACAGCCCTGCATAGCCCGGAGAGCGTGCGGGGCTCTCGAAAGTATGTGGGCTCCGCTTTTTTTCCGCACATCGAGCGAAGTCCGGGGCGGTTACAGATTTCTCTCAGCTCCTCCGCCGCTCGCTGCTTTGGGTTCCTGCCCTCAGCCACTTTTACATCGCAGCGTTGCTCCTTGACTCAGGTGGAAGATGTCCTGTCAGAGTTGCCTCGCGTTCAGGGTGGGGTTGGCCCTTTAACATTTGAGGGAGATAGGAAATAATACTCTCAGGTCCTAGGCTCTTACGTTTATATAAAGTATTTCATGAAATCATCACAACTCAGAGCCAAATGTGGAAAGTGAGGAGCAGGGATATTAAATTACACTTAGAAGGTCAAGGGGAGCAGGAATTTGAACACGAGTCTCCCTGACTCCAAATGGACCTTCCACTATATCGCTGAGTAATGGGTCCAGATGTACAAGTATATGCAGTATTAGATAGTAAGCTCAGAATTATGTTTCCTAGGAGTAATATTAAACAACAGCAATAACAACCTGGAAACTTTCTCCAAGTGGAATTTTCACTCTTTTATTAGGAAAGAACATTTTTTGAACCATATGGAAAAATACTGTTTTCTTAGAAAGCATCTAGCAAAAAATAGTATCTGGACAACACTACAAAGGAGAGCTGGGTTAGAACAAGAGACATTAAACACTTTTTTTTTTTTTTTTGGCAGTGATATATGGTGGATACTCAGGTCAGGACAGTAAAAAGAAATCTGTAAATCTTTGTTTTTAACTTTAGGTAACATTTGAAGTAAGAGCAGTTATGTAGTTCAGGGGCGTGTGACTGAATCGCACGTAACAGGGTGACAGATAACCCAAATCATGTTATTTGATTCATTACAACTTTGTGACTTGTACTGTAGGCGATAACTTCATTTTGTAAAGAGCTGAAATACAGAGAAGGTCCAAGATCATTCAGTAAGTGGAGGAATTGGGTCAAGTGTTTACCCCTAGGTGTTGCCTCTCATTTAAAAAATATGCATGTTGTAGTAAAACAGTGTTTGCTGACTGTGAAGGGCAGAGCAAAAACCATTATTTTGACTCTGTGCTCCTTCTGCAGAAATAATGGATGCTAGGTCTTTTCTCTTTGGGAAGTCGTTTGACTTGCTTTCATTTATGATTTATGGATTTTTCTCTTAAATATGCAACTCTTGTTGATATTGCAGAAGGCAGGTTGCTATAGTACAAATGCTCATTTTCTCTAAGTACTGGCATAGTATTTTATAGCAGGAGGAACATAGTCATTTAGTCCATCATTTCTAGAATATTGAACTTATAGTGGAGAATTCTTGCTTAATTGGGATATTGATAGGCAAAAGCCCACTGCCTAAATAACATATGATAGAGACACAAAATTATATTTGTTATTCAGTAAGAGAAGTAGGGCCCTGTAGTAGTTTTCAGTTTCTTAGGAGGTCATTTATTTTTTTCTTCACGTGGCTATTGGCAATACCCTGAACAGGGGTGAGGCATCTTGCAGTCCAATGTGATTAATCCCAGTGGAAACAGTAGAATTGATATGAATAAATAAGTAAAATCAGCATCATTGCTATTTAAAAAGAAGGGGATGCAACAATGGAGGGGGAAAAAGGAAAGGAAAGAAAGGACAAGAAAACAATGATAATAGAAGGAAAAATTAGAAACAAAATTTTTGTGTATAGGGAGGGGGTGTCAAAGGAGGGGTGGGAAAAAGAGGCAGGATGTATTATGTACAGGTGCATATTCCCTATGATGTATATCTAAAATGTACCAATGAATGTTTTGTTTAAAAAAAAAAGCGGTAAGAAGTACATGTCTTAGTGATAGATGGACAGCAGGAAAACTTTTAAGCAGAGGCAGCATGTTTTTAAATAATTTTTAAAATGTTATGAGTACATGTTTGCAGTTCATGCAGTTTATGATCATCTTGGGGAGTGGTCACATGTATATATTGCAGTTTCTTTCTTTTTTAACCCCTTTCGACTTCCCCCCCCCTCCCCTCTTCCTCCAGTTCCCCTATCCCCTTGTTGATATTTGTTTTAGCTCATGTTTTGGCATATAGTGTTTACATTAATTGCGGTTATTGGGTTTCTGAACATGACATGTCTTTATTCTCATTTCCTCTCCTCCTCACCTCTCGCCATCCTTATTCCGTATTGTAAGAGATCTGTCTCCTTTCTATCCATCCTTTACAATTTTCTTTGTTTGTACTTGAGAGAGGATGTTTAATCTAGATAACAGCACTTGGAGTATGAATATAATACCAAATTGGCTGTGGAAGATATTTATTTATTCAGGATCATTTAACAAAAGAACTTAGAATAGGCTTAATACCAGAAAAAGGTGGTACAGACTTAATGGCTATAGCAATATCTTAAGAACAGGAAGTAGTCAAAGTATAAGAAAGAGATCAGAGGATCAGAGCCAGACTGTGGGTGAACAGAGGATGAGGAAAGCCTTCATGGATGGAAATGAGTTAAATTGAACACAGAGGTGGCAAGGATTTCTCCAAGTAGGGAGAATGCCAGACAAAGGTTCAGCTGAGAAGTGTTCTGAGGCCGTTTGAATACATAGTGACAGATTAGGGAAAATCTTGGCTGTCAGTTGTGAGGTCTGTATCTGCTCTGGTAATTATGGAGAGGGAGTATAGATTTCTGAGCAGCCATGTTTCCCTGTTCGTGTTCTCCAAATCCCTGTCCAGAGGCCCCTTCCAGAAGATGGGACATTTCCTGGTTCTAAAAGAATTTGTCAACTAAATGCACAAAAGGTTTTCTTACACAAGTAAAAATCTTCACATTCCAAGTAAGTTTGCCTTTTTCAAAGCCCTCACCCCAATTATCGAATTAAAAAAAATTTGGAAACTACAATAATATGAAAAGGAAAATTACTATAGTCTTATCAAGTGAAGACAATGGTTACTAATATTTTGATATTTTTCCATTGTTTTTTACATGTACTTTTAATTATGGTGCATTAC